CTTGAATGCTACGGACAATCTCTCAGCTAAATGTATGAATTAGATGTAACAAGATACTTAAAACATTTGGAGGTATAACTTCAGGCCTTCACTCTCATTTAAAGTGTGCACATTCCAGTGATTACTTGGACGTATTTCTAAGGCCAGATTGCAACCAGATGCGAAAACATATCGTGGGTACTCAAAAGCTTGGTCAGACAGCTGATTCCTCGTTGGAAATATCTATGAACAATGAAATAAAACATCTTTGATCTGAGCAGGATGATCTTGAAGATACACTGCCGCTTAAGAGATAATTAGAAATTGAAATACCAAAGAAACTTCAGGCTCAGGATAATACTTCCAGACAAACGGATGGAGACATTGATAAAAATAGAAAGGGCTTTATTTGAGAATGGCGGTTCAGGAGGAAAATATATAAAAATTGCGTATGATTGATAGTCTAAGGTCTATTCCTCCGACCGGTTTGGCATGCTGCTTTATGGGCCACCATGAAGCACTACAACATCAACACAAACCTAACCATAATGATATGCAACCTCTATGATAAGGCCACCAATGCAGTCTTCCTTAACAACAACATCGGAGAATGGTTCAAGACCACGGTTGGAGTACGACAAGACTGCCTGCTCTCCCCCACCCTGTTAAACATCTTCCTAGAGAGAATTATGTCAGATGCTCTGGAAGCGCATGAAGGGAAAGTCAGCATTGATGGCAGAACAATCACCAACCTACTCTTTGCGGACGACATAGACGGACTGGCTGGGAACGAAGAGGAGCTAACCAACCTGGTAAAGCGTCTCGATATGACCTCGTCGTCCTACGGCATGCTAATCAGTGCCGAAAAGACAAACCTGATGACAAATAACACCACAAGTATCACCACTGAAATTAAGGTCGGGGAGGAAAGACTAGAGACTGTAGGCTGCTCTAAATTCCTAGGAGCTATATTCTCAGAAGAAGGTTCCAAGCCCGAACTGATGTCCAAGATTGCGCAGACAACAGCACTAAAGAGGCTCAAGAAAATATGGAATAACAAAAATATAGCCCCCAGCGCCAAAATCAGGCTGATGCGCTGATTAGTAATCTCCATTTTCCTGTATGCCTGCGAATCCTGGACATTAACAGCCGATCTTGAAAGGAAAATAAAGGCGATGGAGATGAGATGCTTCAGAAGCATTTTTGGCATCTGCTATAGGGACCATATCTCCAA